ACGGGATTGCGGAAGCAAGTACTTATTGGTAAGACACTTATTACAGATACTATAAAGATAAGCTATTCATAGTCTCTTTTATATACGACCTTTGTTTGTTGATCTTTATAATTAGCAAATTCGCTATTATTAGAATGCAAATAGACGACACGCTAATAATAGCTGATAAAGAGTTCAATGACTTAAAAGAGCAAGAGCTTAAGAAAGCTGATTTTAACGCTAAGCTAAAAGAGACGCTTATAATAAAAAACGAAGTGACATTTAATAAAGGAACACTAAAGAAGCTCGCTAATAGCTCGATTCTACTTAAGCAAAAGGATTAAAAGAAGAAGCTAGAGTTAATTATCGAAAATAAAAACAACTACTTAGAGCAGCGAGCACGTGCAGCTTACATTGCAAGCTTATGTTAGCTCGAAGCTATTTTCGATTTATCTACCGCCGCGCAAATCTAGCAAAAGGACTTTACTTTAAACGACATTACTTTCTTAAACAAAAGAATTGCATAGATGATAGAAAACCAGCAACGAGGCTTAATATACTTCAACATCGACTTACGTTTAGCGAAGCTGTTCGTATTTATAAACAAGAGTTTTGCTAATAATAAAGACTGTAGTTTACAAATTAGTTTTCTAATCATCTTAACAATCGAAAAGAAGTTTAATAGCTCTTTCTTTATTTAAAGGAACCTTATCGCTGCTAGTTCGACAAAATGCAAGCGAGTGATACGCTTTGTACTTGTATCGGAAATCTATAGCATAGTCTTCGGTATAGATATTGCTATTTGCGTAGCTACTACTTTCAAAATGATTATTAACAAGTTAAAAGTCCTCGAGGTCTTTATAATCGTTTGTACCGACTTATATTCTCTTTACGAATGCTTTATCAAGCTCGGAACTATTAAAGAAAAGCGCTTAATAATCGATATTATAGCTCTTAGATAATCATACGAGCGCCGAGAGCTTGCAAAGGTCAAATGGATTAAAAGAAAGGATAATTTAGCCGACTTTATAACGAAAATCAACTTAAATAAGTCGTTAGCGACTTTTATTAATACGAATAAAGCTAACGTACGTGTCGAAAGGTAAGTGGAAAGAGCATAAGAAGCTTAAGCCGAATTTAGAAGGAACGGTGATAATATTTTTACCGATAACGTTAAGAATAAAGGAGCTATTTTTACTTGTATTAGAATTGCAATTGCAATTGCAATTACTGCAATTGCAAAAGAGAAAATTGCGAGTGTAAGAATAAAAGGATCGGAGTTAAAGACTCGATCGAGGATAAAGGTGGCCCGTGCTTAGCACGTGCACCTTTGTTATAGCAACTATATAGTGGCTCGTGCACGCAACTACATGTAATTGCACTTCGCAGCTAGAATAGCTTCCTTCTTCCTTTAGACTTAACAACATTACGAATGCAACCACTTGCTATTCGTATCGAGTCTCACGTGTGCACCTTATTGTGTAACCAACAGTACCGATTAAATTGCGCAATTGCTAGCCGTTTTATTCGCCGACCGCACTTTAGTGCATACTCTTACCGGATTCACTTTTTTTTATATAATATATAATAAAAAAGCAATGCTTTCGATTAAGACTCGAATTTAGTTTTAAGCTACGTTATTTTAAAAGTTAATAATTAATCGTATTAAGCTTATCGAGTTGAAAGCACGCTAATTTCGGATGCGAGACGAAAACGCTATAAAAGCTATACTTAAGAAAACCCGTTGCTATTAAAAAAGAAAAGATGTTTTTAATAATAAAAAGAACTTTTAAATTAAACTTTTAAAAGTAAGTGACTTAGTCTTTAAGCACGACTCGATACGTAAAGTAGATATATTTAACGTTAAGAAGCTAGATTTTCAATAGCTTAGCTTTTATTAAATTTCGTCGGTAAATACAAAAAAATACTATAAGTTAAAAGAGTTAAAAAAAGACGAAGCTTTGCTAGATAAAACATTTGCCGGCAATCGATTAAAGAAGTTCTACGTGCGATACACTCTTAAAGCGTTACTACTTCGCTTTAAGCTTTAAACAAAAAGATCTTTAAAACAGCTTTTATTAAATAAAATAACCGAGTCCGGCTTTTAGATCAAGCGCTTAAATAGATTTGTTATTCGATTACTTAGCTTTATAAAAGAGCAACAGAGTTAATACGCAAGAGTCTTTATAAGTAATGATAAAGAAGTAATAAAAAGTAATTAAGTTATAAAAGCATAACTATACGTAAAAAAAAGACGAGTTTAGATTTGATTTTTGATTTTTTTTTTTTTTAAGTTTAGTTTTCTTTGTTTTCTTTCTTTTTATAC